GATTGTGAAACACCAATTTTTTCCGAGGAGTTATAATGTAAAAATAATTACAATTCTTGAACACATTTGGATAAAGGGCAGACACACATCAAAGTCCCTACACCACCAGTAATAAGCTTGCAGCGATTAACATTTACAATTCATCTTCAATAACATTTTGCGTAATATTACAACATGTGTTATGTATTCATGAAAAGCTCCAGGGAAGAAACACATTATCTTTTTAGAAATTGGAAACAGTTTAATCCGAAATGGAGACAAATGAAATAATCCCTTCTTATTTTCTTTGAAAACAATAACTCCTCACACACTATATGCGCAAATGTTGTTAATTGTATTTTTTTGTCTGAAACAGAGCAGAGAAAAATCAGACAGACTGTAAGGGATTAAGTGTGGAGAAATAGGCTCTGGTAATGCCTAATGCCACGGTAAATTTCCCTTGAAAGAACACTATAATGCTATTTCAGGTTTCATAATAAAAAATTTTAAAAAGATATTATCTTTGTTCCTCTACCTTGGACCACGTTTACATACTTAACCTTTTCAAAAAATTGCTTTATTTTTCTGACACTTTCTATGATGCCCAGCGTCTGTTTTCACCAGAGCAATCGCTGCTTCTTAATTGGACCCTTAGAGAAGTCCGGCCCCTTAGCCTGCCCTAGTCATGTAATCACATATAAGTGTTATGTGGTGATGTCATATGTTAAACAAAGGACACACACTCACACGCCCACACACACACAAACACACGCACGCACGGCACGCACGCACGCCAACCACCCCACCACACACACACCAACACACTCCTTTTCTCTTTTGTATTGAGAACCGACCTCCACTCAAAAGTGCCTTATAGCCTGCTCCCCAGGAAACTGCCACAGGCTCTACTCAGGTGGAGAATGTAGAGGATCATACCATCTCAAGTCTAGATCGCGGGGCAGCTGATTGCCAGTTAATTTGAATTTTTACTGGATAATTTTTTATAAAGCCCATCCCCATTTTGCCTGCAGCTGGGTTTATTAAAACAACCCACCCACCAGCACCCACACCCACACACCCCCCCACCACCAGCACACACACACACACACACCCACACACACACACACACACACCAGCACACACAACACAACACCCACACACCACACACACAACACCACCACTCTCGAGAACTACTGCCGCACCAGTGAGCTGTTCAGTAAAAGCTGCTGGGGTTAAAGTGTCTTGTTAAAGTGCAGTTTAATAAAAGTAGGTTGGTTCATTAGCAGATCATTTACGTAGCTGTATATACAAATCAAATTAAAATGGGTACATCATAACTTTAAAAATGAGGTATAATCATCACCCATAGCCTGAATCCTTTCTTGGCCTCCAGAAACAACACGTTTCTCAGAAATGAGTTGGCCATGTTTCTCTGGAAGACTGACTCCAGTGTAGAGTAGGCCGCAAAACCGCTTTGCAGGCATTGTAGTGCAAAACAAGTTCCACGCCTCAGCTCGCTTCCCACGTATCAGGCACTCCAGTCTAGAGTGGTATGTGAATACTCATGCATTTGATTTTAGCACAGCCAGAGCTTGACACTAATCCTCCAAATGTGTTTCCATATTCTGCGGCTTTCTCGTTCGCAAATGCATGAGACTCAAGCTCCCGTGGTGCCACTGATCGATGTTTGATCTGAAGGATAAATCCTGTGTAGGATTAGACAGACCAGTGTGACAGAGTAGATCTCTGTGCTCAATGGATTGCCTTGACAAGATCCCCCAACGGGAGCAGTTCAGGGAAACTTCAAGAATGGACGACTTGAGGCTGACTGGATACAAGGTGGCAGAATTCGAATTTCGGTCAGCTGTACCAGGTCCAAGCTGAAGCTAAAGGAAAAATGCTGCCTTGAAGAGCTTTTGACACACCTTATGTGCAGCCAACTTTTACAGGTGAGATTTACAGTTTTTCTCGATTGCTAACAAACATTTTTTATTTTTTATAAAGAAATTAATTCAGTTTCTCAGAACACTGAATACAATTCAGCAAAACCAGCACACCCCAAAAGTGCAAACACCCTAATTATCGCTGCTAAGTTAGAACTGTACTCAAAACACATAAAAAAGCAAACTTTTGCACCAAATATTAACAGCACTTCAATTCATAATACTATTGTTTAGAGCCACCCATCTACACACCTGCTGAAGCAATAAATCTAAAGCACTTTTCATCTTTTATGGGCTATTGCCTTTTCTGTACATAGAGGTTTCTGCAGAGAAGATTGCTGAGTAATCACAGAAATACTTTGCTACAGCCCAGCCAAAGAGCTTTAGGTCGGCCTTGACCAGCTGGGCTGGCTGAATAGTGGGCCCAAGACCAGGATCAAACCAGAGGGCACCGAGCATTCGGCAGCAGGCTGGCCCCAGGCCTCTGGAATAAGCTGCTGCCACTCAAATGTGAGTTCGGCCCAAGACCGCCTAGGGTTTTTTTAAATCTACACTTAAAACTGCACGTTTTCTCTCTGGCCTTCTAGTCTGAGCGGGCCACGACTTCTGACATTTCCCTTGTGTGCTATTTTTTATTCGTGCTGTTGTATTTGCTGTAAAGTGTTTTTTATTGTAAATCTATTTTTTCATTGTATGATAGCAGAGCATTTGGCTCGACCAAAAAATCGTCACAGTTTTTCTGATTGCTAACCACACTAAAAATTATACATGAAGCACAATTATTTTAACTGACCTCAAAGAGGCAAAACATTGGGCTCAAAATCTCGCAAATTCTAAAACACGTTTTTCAGCCCTTTTCAACAATTTGCAATCAACATGGCATTTTGCAAACCCACCCCCACACATTTCTCCCCACGTAAGACACAGGAATCTGCATAAAAGTCACGTGTTTAGGCAGGTCTAAAAACACTGATATTCAAAAATGCCTCACACATGACCAATGATCAAGAAAAAAAAAAAACAGCGTTCCACCTGACCAAGAGCACCTGATAGCATTAACATTGGCTCATCAATCAGGATGTTAGGCACTATAAGAAAGACCCAGGTGGGTGAGAGTGAGAGGAGGAAGAATTAGAGGTAGAGGTAGAGCTGGAGGGAGAGGACGTGGTCAAAGAAGAGTACTCTCTAATGAAATGAATGTTATCAACCATGGTTTGACGATGAGAGAGGATGGACCGAGGGTTCAGCCTAATCTAAGCCGATTTACTGTCGCCTCTGTAATCTGAACACTTAGACTTGAAAACAGGTTAGTTAACAGTTTTTAGCCCAGCATAATTCATGATATATCAGTGCTTATATCTGTTGTGTGAAACGTATTTACTTCATCACTGTAATTGAATTGTTGGCATGTTGCAGACTATAACTGTACAACAATCCTGCACAATGTACTGTGGTAAACTTACTTTTATGCAACACAGACACTGACCATCCACTATATATTTGTTGTTTATCTAAAGGACTAGAGAAAAAAAGAGGTGCAGGTGGAAGGCTAAGGATTTTCAATGAGGCACAGGAAGCAGCAGTTACAAACTGGGTTGTGGCAAACAATGCATCACACTTAGAGATCCGAAGCAGAGTAACTATGTGCTGAAATGCATGTTGCACAATGTTATTTTTGAATCAAATGTGATTTTTTTCAACAACTAATTTGTATTTATTCATTTACTGTATTTCTGTGTACTCAAGCAATCTTTCTCTGCAGAAACCTCTATGTACAGAGCATAGCCCATAACAGATGAAAGTGCTTTAGATTATGCTCCGCAGTGTGTAGTTGGGTGGTCAAACAATCTAGTATTATGAATGAAGTGTGTTATATTTGGTGCTAAAGTTTGCATTTGGTAAGTGTATAGTATATAAGTATATAGTTACTATGCGTCGGATCTCTCGTTGTTTGCCAAAACCCAGTTTGTAACTGTTGCTTCCTGTGCCTCATTGAAAATCCTTAGCTTTCAACCTGCACCTCTTTTTTTCTCAGTCCTTCAGATAAACAACAAAGATATAGTGTTTGGTCAGTGTCTGTGTTGCATAAAAGTAAGTTTACCACAGTACATTGTGCAGGATTGTTGTACAGTTATAGTCTGCAACATGCCAACAATTCAATTACAGTGATGAAGTAAATACGTTTCACACAACAGATATAAGCACTGATATATCATGAATTATGCTGGGCTAAAAACTGTTAACTAACCTGTTTTCAAGTCTAAGTGTTCAGATTACAGAGGCGACAGTAAATCGGCTTAGATTAGGCTGAACCCTCGGTCCATCCTCTCTCATCGTCAAACCATGGTTGATAACATTCATTTCATTAGAGAGTACTCTTCTTTGACCACGTCCTCTCCCTCCAGCTCTACCTCTACCTCTAATTCTTCCTCCTCTCACTCTCACCCCACCTCTTCCTCCTCCTCTCACTCTCAGCCCAGCTCTTCCTCTTCCTCTTCCTCTTGCTCTTGCTCTTCCTCTTGCTTCCATGTTGGCTTCCATTGTTGCTGTAAGAAAGTACTCACCTGTGGTCTTTTATAGTGCTAACATCCTGATTGATGAGCCAACAATTATGCTATCAGGTGTTTGGTCAGGTGGAACGTGTTTCTTGATCATTGGTCCATGTGTGAGGCATTTTGAATATCAATGTTATGTATGTGCTAACACGTGGCTTTATGTCAGATTCCTGTGTTTTACGTGGAGAAACGTGTGCAGTGGTTTGCAAAAAGGGCCATGTTGATTTGCAAATTGTGTGAAAAGCTGAAAAGGTTTTTAGAGATTTGAGCCGATGTTTTGCTCTTTCAGTGTCAGTTAAAATAATTGTGATTTATGTATAATTTTATGTGTTAGCAATCGAGAAAAACTGTAAATCATTAAAAACACTTACGTATCATCAGGTACAATAAACGGTCTGCATTTACAGCAACTTCTTAGCATATTTGATTAGTTGGTTGCTTTGAATTGAAATAGACTTTACAAAGTTCTTGAGGTATAATAAATGTTTGCACCTCTACAAAGTCTGACAAAGAAAATAATGTTTCCTCTAGCTCAAAGGCCTATTTAATGTCTAAAGCAACCTTCACATTTTTACATTACAGGAGAATCATAGAGGAGGCGCCCAACCTGGCAAAAGTGAAATCCAGGTATATTGTGTCTATATATGGACTGTGCAGTGAGGCGACTGCTGTGGTGATGGAGCACATGAGTAATGGGTCGCTGAACAACCTCCTAGCCAGTCACACTTTGATGTGGCCAAAGAAGTTTCAGATGATTCACGAGGTCTCTATGGGAATGAATTTCCTTCACAGCTTGAACCCTCCGCTACTCCATCTAAACCTCAAGACATCCAACATCCTACTAGATGATCATCTCCATGTCAAGGTCAATGACGCTCAGTGACAACACATTTATGAGACTGCTTTTAGTCATTTTTGAAATTTCTGATTTATGCAGATCAATGAATGCAAATTCTCAAAATCCAAATTCTTTTTACCAAGATATCCGATTTTGGTTTAATCCACTGGAAAGAAGGCATGAGCAAGAAGTTGTTTATGGAGCAGCTGACAGTCCGAGGGAACATAAGTTACATTCCTCCAGAGACCTTCACTCAGTGTCCCGATCCTCCAGGAACTTCCTTTGATGTTTACAGGTGACTTACTAAGGGAATATCTGAAATTGTACAATCAGAGTCACTGCTTTCCCCCCTAACTCTGTGTAACCTTGCTCTTTTATTGTATTCATTTCAATATACCCCAAGTTACTGGTACTTACTCTGCACATTGGATTCATTCACTCTTTGTTAGACTTTTAGGTTTAATTGGTTTTACTTGACTTTAAAAAGGATTTCATATAGCTATTTTTATATAAAATAGGCACTGACAGAAAGTTCACAGAATGCAGGATGTGCAAAAATGTGAAAGTGAGTGCTGAAGTGCCTCTTTCTGCTTTGATCTACAGCTCTGGAATAGTGATGTGGGAGATTCTGACGCAGCAGAAACCATATGCAGGTAGGGATGAGTTCATTTGAAATGCATCCTATCTTCGAATCAAACATGTACATTTCTAGGTGTTACTTCAGTGTCATGTTATGCTCAATACAATCAATTAGACAGCATGAAGGTGAAAGCTATTTTGTTTTTTTTTGGTCTTTTGAGAATGTTAACATGTTTAATTTATTAATTCATTATCTTTAACCCATAAGTATACTTTCCCATTGATGTAAAGTCAACATTTTTAAAATGCCCCGTTAATCAAGAATCAGGGTTTAATTAACAATGACTGGAATCTGTATCTTAAATGTACTTTTCTTTATTTGAATGTAATGTGAGTGTTAATGATCTAAACCTCAGCAATCCTATATATTTATTTTGTACTTAAACAAAGCAGTTAGTAATCCTTCTAAATAAATAGTATGTCATTTTAGGAAATGGCTTATTGGCTTTCTTGCCAAGAGTTATATGAAATCAATTCCACTCTCATGTCCTTCTAATAAGCATTAAGCAGTGGATAGGGAAGTATTAGCTTATTTATGGATAACGAATGGAATCAGGAGGAATAAACTAACCTGGCTCTGTCTAAAGACAACAAAAACGATCTAACAGCACCACTAAGTGTACTAATTTAACAGATAATTGGGGTTATTAAAAACCCCAATTTAAATCTCGTCCTTTAACATAACAGAAGGTAAAGAGTGTCAAATCAATGCCTCATACTGTCCTATGGTTGTGTTGATCTACAGGGTGCAGTGTGACCACAGTGCTCTTACATGTGTCTCAGGGTAAGAGACCCAGTGTGGAGTTGATGCCCGAATCAAAGCCCCCTGAGTGTGATCAGATGATCGGCATCATGAGGCATTGCTGGGACCAGGATCTCAGGAAGAGGCCCCAGTTCTCAGGTGCAGAAGCTTAAAAGCTAGAAATGAGATAAAAATAATAATAATACATAATAGATATATAATTCTGTATTGGTTTCCAACCAACTTTGGATTTAAAGCTCGAGATGGAACTGCAGCTGTTAGTGCTTCACTTCCCTTCAGTTGTGAAAGCTACGGAACTGCCTTTACATAAAACGCTGATTTCCCTAATGCGTTGATGAAAAAGAACACGTCTTCTTATGGAAGATGAGATTGAACAAATGCGGTAACAGAGAGGGATCCTGGAAGCCCCATTAAGACTAGTTCATCGCCAGTGTGCCATCCATACAGTACTGTATGTTACAAAATACATCTTGGAAAGGATCACAGCACACACAATATCTTGCATCCATAGCAAGATGATGTGTAATTTGTCAAATTCTGATGATGTGTGTCATAGCTTTTGGCATTTTAATGGTGCGTAAAAGCTATATTGAAATGTAACATTATGCAAATGAGCTTTTTCTTAATTCCATTATCAACATAAAAGATGAAAACGCTATCAAACGCACTGCATGCACACTCTCACAAGCAAAAGGTTGGAAAGGTTCCAAATGATTAAAAACAGTCATTTATACATCATGTTGAGACATGAGTGTTTTAATCTGACGCGATCAAAAGCATCTGGCACCTGTCAGTTTTTTTATCCACATTCTCTGAAAAACAAAGGCACCAAACAAATCAACCATGTCGTGCCTTTTGGCATTGCATCTAATTATCAAGTCAACAACAGGTAATAAAATTGCTCATAGAGAACACATTCTGCTGCGTGTAATGTGTGATTGAAATGCATACATTGAAGTGGGTCACCTCTGATAGATAAGCACTTATGGCTTGAGGAGTTGTGTTTATGAATACAAATAAGTGTCATGAATATTCATAAACAGACGCTATAGAATATAATTTCATTCATGTATGACTGTTCATTCTCAGTGGTGGATCCCCTTGAGCTTTAGAGATGCTTTTAGAAACACATTTTTTCGACTGGACAATTTAATCACTGTATTTTCCTTGACTTGTGCTTTGATTACAGACACTGTGAGGGAGACAGAGGCCGTGAGTGACATCCTGAAGATCCCAGGACTAATCCAAAGCCACCAAAATGACGACAAGAGCCAGAAGTCAGATTATCCTTTGCTCTTTTCCCCGATACACAAAGTAAGCCCTACTTGATACTCTGCTTAAATTCAACTGTAGTGTCTACTGTATATAATCAATTTTTGGCATACTAAGCAGGTTTATCTTATCATAAGGAAAAGTAAAAAAAAAAAAAGATAACGAAGTTTACACGACATTGTGGATTTTATCAGCATGGTAAGGATGTTTTTGGTCACAGTGATGCTCTAAATATTTTATTTTGTTATCACTTTAAGGCACTTGAAACAAGATCATTAATTACACATTAATGACACACACATATTTGAACTTGAAATGTCAAACTAGTCTGCAATTTTTGCTTTTTAATACACATTCAGGAGTACAGTGCATTAGCATTAATTTGAAAGGCACTATTTTTGTTCTCGATCAACTCCTGAGAAAACGTTTTATCTGCTTAATATCTCCGTTTGATTATCCTCTAGTTTTAATTGTATCTGTTCTTGTAATTTGAAAGTTTTCATCCCATTTACTGGCTGTTTTTTCAATACCATTTTAATTATGCAAAATGGACCAAACTGCTCCTATCTTCATGTTGAAAAAGTAAAACTGTTGCAGCTTTAAACACGTTGTTAACTTTATAGATAACAAAGAAGAAATAGGAAAATATTTTTCTTTAATAGGCAAAAAAACGACTTGGTTAGGTTTAGTAAAGCATCACGGTATGTGTTGAATAAGGATGGTTTTTATGTTAGGGTTATGAAATGATAGAAGAATGTAGGTGATCATCTACAGGACTGTCTCAGAAAATTAGAATATTGTGATAAAGTTCTTTATTTTCTGTAATGCAATTAAAAAAACAAAAATGTCATACATTCTGGATTCATTACAAATCAACTGAAATATTGCAAGCCTTTTATTATTTTAATATTGCTGATTATGGCATACAGCTTAAGAAAACTCAAATATCCTATCTCTAAATATTAGAATATCATGAAAAAGTATACTAGTAGGGTGTTCAACGAATCACTTGAATCCTAATATTTAGAGATAGGATATTTGAGTTTTCTTAAGCTGTATGCCATAANCCTGTCCTGGAATCGCAGTGTGTGTGGTCGTAGTGTTGAAAGGTGAATTTTGAGCGTAACCCAACTACCGCGAGGATTCATGGAAAGCGCATTGAGCCACTGTTTGCGCGTATTGTTCTGCTGTGCTTTGGCAACTCCATTATTCTAACTACCGTCGCGGATCTAATGTTTCGCCGCTCGGGGCGGATGGATCCTCCCAGAGATAATAGGAATCCTGAGTATGTTTTACGGTTGTTTTTTAGTGGAAACCTCTTTCCGTTTCGATGAATATTATTTCTATGTATAGTGTACGTTATTTTTTGGATTTCGGGTCAGGAATCTGATCTGTAGAATGGGGAGGTTTTGATTGGAGAAATATATGCTTTTATATGTGGGTTTACGAAGAAATTTTTCGTTGGACGGTTCGGAGGCGATATAAAGGGGTAGTGGGTTATCAGAGGGTTAGAGCGGGTTGGCGGTAGGAGGGTCGGGGTTGGTGGGGTTGAGGGGGTTGGTGGGTGGGGGTTGGGGGTGTAGGGTTCGGGGAGGGTTGGGGGGTTGAGGGGGTAGGCGAGGGTAGGTGGGTTGAGGGAGGGTGGGTTGGGAGTGAGGGTGGGGGTTTGAGGGTGGGGGTTGGGGGGTTGGGGGTTAGCGAGGTGTGTATTGTTGTTTTGTCGTGTTTTTGAAGGTTATGTGCGTTTTGGTTGATGTTTCGTTATTTTTGTTCTGCTTTATCCTGAGTTGATGTGGATATTGATGCGGGGTTTTCGTTGTGGATGCTTTGTTTGTGGTTGTTGGATAGGTTGTTTGTGTTTGTTGTGTTGGTTTTTTGTCAGAGTGTGTGTTGTAGTGGGGTGTGGAGTGGGGTTTTGAGTATGTTGGATGGTTTTTGTTTGGGTGTTTTTTTTGTGTATGTTGTGTGTGTTGTGTGTACTGGTGTTTTGTGTTGTGGTTTGGTGTTGGAGCGTTTGGGGGATTTGTGTTTCTGCGGTATGTGTTGGTGGTGTGGGTGGTGTGTGTTTGGGTGTGGTGGGGGGTGTGTTTGGGTATTGGCGTGCTTGTGGGTTCTCAGCTGATTGTGTTGGTTCAGTGGTTGTTTGTAAGTAGCCAAGATGATAGTCGTGTCTAGGTCCAGGTGTGCGCGAGTCCATATGTGTATGTTGTAGTGTGTGTGAGAAACATTACTTTTATTGAGGCTCTTCTGTGCCTGCTCTATTGATGGCTCTCTAGATCCTAGTTTGATTCTACATCTGAAAGTTTAGTATGTTGCTAATAGGTACCTAACTGGTAAAATTTGTCATTCCACTACTTTGGTTTTGTGTGTGTAGTGGGAGTCTTGTATTTCGTTGAGTGTTGCGATGCAGTCGCTGTGGATAGTGGGTCAATAAATGTAAAAGTGTGGTCTTGTGTTCATGGGCCAAGTGAGTTTCTTATCATCTATGAATTGGTTTCATTAGCGTGCGAATATAACATAATTAATGTGATAGTGGTTCAGTTTCCATTATTCTTGGGCCATGAGCTATGTTGCTTTACAGAGAATTTCTCATTTAATTAGTGGAAGCACTAAGCTGAGATATGTGTATCAGAGTACTAATGGTAAGCATGACGTATAATTTAACCTTCCAATCTGATTCCTGGTGTGACTTATGCGTGATTAATAATTAAGTAAAGGCATTGATTGCCTAATCGTGATGTGGGTGGTTGCGTAAGCAGTTGACTAATTTTGTGGCTAACTGGTTCGAGTCTACTGTGCTGAGTTTTGTTGATATATGGTACTGGATGTAGTTTTTGGTTATTCTGGTTATTAAGATGAAAGTCGAGTTGTTTTGTAACGACTGCTTTTTCGGAGTTCCGGTTTCGCTGTTGGGTCCTGCCGTCCGTGTTGTCGGTGGTTTGCATAACAGTACAACTGACACAATGAATATGGATCCCAGCGGATACAGAGACGAGTGAATGCATAGAGTCTGGTTGCGAGCTCTATAGTGAATGTAGACTACATCCATGCTGAGGTGAGTTGCACGTTCTGGTAGCGCCTGACGGTCGGTGGAGGACCTTGACGTGTGTTTTCTGTTTGCAAGTGTAAATATGTTTTTCAATGCCTCTTCGGTCAAGTACTCAGGGTGATATAACCTTGCTGAACGCTGCACCGCGTGTCCTTCGCTCACCTGGAGTCTGATTCGACCCCCTCAGTCTCCTGCTGTTGCATTACAATCACTTCCAACTTTGCATTCCTAGCTGACCATCGGTGCCACTCCGATGCTCTCAAACGTCTCGTTTTGTGCATCTTCCAGAGCGATTTCTCCGGAGAATTTTGTCGTGTGACTGTCGCTCTCTTTCATTTTGTTGCACAATCATTGTGATAAATATCTCATAACAGAAACTGCTGCATATCGATCTTCAGCTAGAAGTCACTCTGTTGTGCGCATATCAAGGTGGGTTCCGTTAGGGGGTCGGGAGATACAGTGTGGACTCTAATATGGTGCTAAAGTCAGACATGGGGCGAGGAGTTGCACGACCTGTCAAGTACTCTGAGTAGTGATGCGCAGTCTATCTTTGATATGAGAGGGCTTATGACGCGATGCTCTGTGAAGAAGGAGCTACTAGTCAGAGTCAACAATGATTGGCAGTTGTAGAGTAAGAGCATATACATTGGGGTCATGGAATTTTTTAGCTGGAACAGCAGATATCTGCATGCTCAGAGAGTGCTGCAGGATATTCCAAGTGGTTTAGCTGTGAAAATGTACTCCGCAAGGTGTGTGTGTGGTCCGTTGCTGTTCAATATAGTATTAATGACATTTTTAATCAGGTTAATCCAGTATGGTGGAAAGTCTTTGTTGCATGATGCGGCTTGTGCAGAAAGGCCGCAATGCACATGTGGCAAGAAATACCAGCTGCAATAGTGGAAGTGGAGAAAGTGGACGAAAAGTCAAATAGGGGGTTCAAGACTGTGGCAGTAGCTAAGACGTCGACATGTCCAAACGCATAACACTTGCTCCTATAATCGTTAATTCATCCGTTAGCTGAGCAGACCTTCCTGAACAGATACATAACATTTCTTGCGTGTTTGGTGCAGAAGCTACCATGGTGCAATCTATAGGAAAGTTCCAAATGTAAAGTCAACATGTACTTCGGTGTTGCGGACAGGAGTGGGAAAGCAGTCATCACTTCTGTTCTGGGCACTCATGAGACTGTAGTCGATTATGGGTGTTATAGCTGCATGGGACGACAGCAGAATCAAACCTAAACGCGTCCTCAGCCCTGAGAATTGTAGTGGAGCTTTTAAAAATCTCCAGTATCAGCAATACAGGTGGCAATGGGAGAAATGCCTTCAGAGTGATAAGAACGAGTGGACTTCCTAAGTCGTTGCCGATACTGGTCAACCTTCAGGCAAGTGATGTCATCCTGCATAACGGTATGTTGAAAGACTGGAGAGGTAGCACAATGAGTCACATTTAATAAGTTTGGATGGATTGGCGATTAAAGCCAGTATAGTTTGAACTCACAATCACAGTATTGCTCCCACAGTTCGACTCCCATCCTGATTCCACCCTCGAGACTTATCGCCAGCAGAGTGTAGAGCGGAGGACAGACGGAGTTAAAGGAGGAGAGAGGCTAGCATATGGCGCATAGCCAGGAGGTTACTGCGAAAGAGATCACTCAGACTCACAATCAGTGTTACTGATGGTTCCAAAGGATTCCAGAGACATGGTGCAGATGACAGTGATACGTCCCAGCAGTATACACATATCAGGGGACAGATGTGAGTCATAACAGAGCATAGTCAGTATACCACGCACAGAGTTGGTTGGCATTGGTCGGTCATTGAAATGATACAGATAACAGAAATAGCGCTAATAGTAATTGCGGACATCATGACAGCTTTTCAGCTTATCGCATATATACGAGTCAGCACGATCTTCATCTAGATCATAATAAGTATGAGAATATACTCTCATTTATATTAAATGCAGATCGAAGCATATATCAACTCGTTTGCATCTGGTTCGCTGATATTTGTGGAGGGTAATGAACACATGTGGATTACGTGGCCAAACAAACCCTCAGAAGTATGAACTAGCATAGAAGTTCCACT